ACTAAGCCATTGAAAATGAAGGACAGGGGTGATTTATTCCATATGGTCGTTAAACGCCTGATTCCTGCAGTTTATTGACCTTACACGGGCTCGGGTGGGGGTCAGATTGACCCCCAAAGGTTTTTCCAGAATGGTTTCCGAGCGGCGCGGCGCCTCCGCGTCATGCTTCGCAAAGCTGTAAACAACTGAATAGCGAATCGTTTGGTATCAAAAATTTAGATGTACTTTGTAAGGTCGCTGACCTATAGCAGGCCAAAATCAGGCCATGGTTTTAGAGAAGTCAGGTTCTAGGGAATCGTTCAATCTGATGCACCAATGAAGTGTTAGACAAAGCCACACATCTTTGAGATGCTTTCTTAGGCAACACAATATTGAATGAGAATCGCGTTGACCAAAGGTCAGATATAAATGTCAGAACCAAGGTCAAAATCGATCTTGTTTTAGTACGTAAGCGCTTGCTTTTTGGGATAGTTTCTGGTACTGATTTATAATTTATTAATAGCAGGAATCGCATGATACATCTTCCGTGGATTTCTTAGTGGTCGGAATAGGTTATTGACCTAAAATGACCTAGGTCAGCATTTTTGTTTTTAGAAACATACTGCCTAGCGTAACCTTTTTCTCTTATTCAAATGCAACACTTAGAGCAGTCCTGTATGATTGTGGTCACCATGACCCCCAAAAGATCAAACAAGGTCGCTGACCTTAGCTGAATATGTGACCTTTTGCTTAGAAACAGTTATCTAGGTTCTGGGGGCACTTAAGAGACCAACCTGGAATTTGACCTCATTGGGCCCAAAATTCACGACCTAGGAACCTTAAACCTTGACATAAGTGAGTTCACGTACAGGTCAGCACACCCTGTGAATTAAGTGGCTCTAGTTCTTTTAGTTCCCGAGACCTCAGCTGGGTCAAATTAACCCCCCCCCCCCCCGAGCAAAGGTTATCTAGCGATCCCCCCGGGCGCGTATTAAACCAACGTAAAAATATCCGGGGATATTTTTTTGTGGGGGATTGCCACAAACGGAGCTTTTGTCAACCATGTGTTTCTATTAGCAATGCTCTGCCCCCCCCCCCCCCCCCGCCTACACACAAGACCAGATCAAGACATCTACGTTGAATGGCGGGCAATTAAATGTCCGCTGGGTCAATTCAAACCTAAAGTAGACAGGCTTCCCGGCGGCGTTTCTGCGGGCGGTGTGGTGTTAGGGAAGCTAATTGGGAAAAAGGTACTGTTGCAGATGTCTAACGCATGTTTTACATCCCAATTCGTAGCAATGCTGATACAGAAATGTGCAACAGAACAGCCATCCATCGGTTCGCGGTCAGTCATTCGGAGACAGCCGGACCAGGACAGTGGTCACCGACGGCGGACGGGAGCAGGGCTCAGACAAGGAATGTATGACAGAAGGGCCTTCATTCTGTGGCTTGATTTTCAAGGGAGAATCTCCAGTTCTATGACTTTTGTACGTGGCTTTTGGCAGTTTCAAGCTTCCGACTTTGTTTCCACCTAAATGCCGCGACAAGTCTTATCTCTTGAAAAACAGCCAGCGAAATAGAGGGGCACGTAAAATCTGTACTGTGAACCATTGATTCACTTTCAAAATTTTCGCCATCCTGTGCTCAAGTCATATTTTGACATCTACCCTGTGGAGACAGGTTGCCTCCTCAATAACCCAAAATGTCTAACCGCTCGTGGAATTTCGGCTCCCCAGGAAAGGCAACGTTGAAATGGGAAGCTGGATAGCCTTATTACCTGAATGACATAGATGAGCCGGATAGGCAAGAGTGAGCACCAGTGAGAAACAGCTCTAGATGCATATCTAGAATAGCATTCATTGCATTTGAATAAGGAGCGATAACCTGCATCTCTAACCCCCCCCCCCCCCCCTCCCGGTTATCGGGCTTGTTTTCCAGAAAAGTTCCTGAATGCCCTGAGCTTGCCTCCCCCACACACTTTTTGAACGTTCCTACGCCTATGGTCAAAATTACCAGTTTTCTATTAAAAGCGTTTTGGTTTAACCATGATCTAAGCTTCATGTATTACCGACGGCCAGCAGTTAGTGGCAATCCAACTTTCGGTTGCATAGTTGTCTTAGAGACCATACCAAAGTTGTATGACTTCGTCAGTTGTTATGACAGCCAGTGTCGAATCGCAAGTTGGACACAGTTACGCCACACCGCCGGGAAGTTATTCTGAGACACTTTTCAGGTCGAATTACCCCCCCTCCCCCACCGTGCGCATGTTTACAATCTCACAATGCGTTTAGTTAACAACTCGCATCCTTCCGACCCAAATGACGTGCCCCTCCCCCTCCCCCCCCCCCCCCCCCGCTCCACTCTGGCCTTCGCTGCCCCTCCCCCTCCCCGTCCAGAGCGCGTTCGTGGCGCTCACGGCGTGCTCCGTCCTCAGTCGTGTCGTCGGAACAAGCGGAGCCGGGAGCTGGCGGGGCTGGACGCGGGCGCGGCGCGCGCTAGTCGGCCCACGCCGCCGCACTTGACCTCGGTACAGGCCGAGCAGATACTGGCGCAGGCCTGCGAGAACGAGAGCCAGAACGCCAAGAGGATGCGGCTCGGCCTGGAGCCCATCAGCCAGCCGCTGATCCAGCCGGCCAGCAGTCCGCAGGTGAGCACGGCCGGAGGACCCGCCGGCTCATGACCAGCAGATGAAGCCGTCTGCTGATCAGCATTCAGCCGGTGAATACGGCTGAGGTACAGCCAGTTAGCAGGCTACTGATGGTGGCAGTTGAGATGTCTTAGGAGTTGGCGAATGAGTCAGTTGAGGTACAGCCGGTTAGCACGCCACTGATGATGGCAGTACAGGTGTCTTAGGAGTTGGTGAATGAGTCAGCTGAGGTACAGCTGGTCAGCAGGGCCGCCGATGATAGGCGTGATGCAACCGGTGGGCATTCCATAGGTGGTGACAGTTTGATAGGCATTGGTCCAGCCAGTGAACAGCTCGCAGGCATGACAGCTGTGCTCCAGTCAGTCAGCAGCTCGCAGGCCGGGACAGCTGTGCTCCAGTCAGTCAGCAGCTCACAGGCGGGGACAGCTGTGCTCCAGTCAGTCAGCAGCTCGCAGGCCGGGACAGCTGTGCTCCAGTCATTCAGCAGCTCACAGGCGGGGACAGCTGTGCTTCAGTCAGTCAGCAGCTCGCAGGCCGGGACAGCTGTGCTCCAGTCAGTCAGCAGCTCGGAGGCCGGGACAGCTGTGCTCCAGTCAGTCAGCAGCTCGCAGGCCGGGACAGCTGTGCTCCAGTCAGTCAGCAGCTCGCAGGCCGGGACAGCTGTGCTCCAGTCAGTCAGCAGCTCGCAGGCGGGGACAGCTGTGCTCCAGTCAGTCAGCAGCTCGCAGGCCGGTACAGCTGTGCTCCAGTCAGTCAGCAGCTCGCAGGCGGGGGACAGCTGTGCTCCAGTCAGTCAGCAGCTCGCAGGCGGGACAGCTGGGCTCCAGTCAGTCAGCAGCTCGCAGGCCGGGTCAGCTACTCCTCAGTCGATCAGCAGCTGGCAGGCGAATGGCGAGTACAACTGGGGCACAACCGGTCACATGAGCCGACAGGTGACGGCAGTTGCCTGTGATGCAACGGTCTCTCAGGTGGAGACCGGGGCACCGGCTGACGTTTGTCCAGACCAGTCGCCGCCGGCTGCCATGCTGCAACCCGGCAGGGTGAGCCCCACCACAGGCGTCGTTTAGGGTGGCCAGACTCTTGAACTGGGCCCGCGCACACCCAAGCAACGGTGACAAACGGGCACAGGCTGACACCCGCAGCAGGTCATTTGCCAGCGCGGCGACTCATTCGGGGCGTGTGACTTGCTGCCGTCGGGTATTGACCTGGTGTCAACAGGGGGGGGGGGGGAGGGGCGGGACGGTGGAGCCCGAGCCAGCCAGCGTGTTGTGCTCGGCGAGGCCCGCCCTGACGCTCTGGTCGATCAGCCCCCAATTACACACATTGACCCGTTCCGGGCGATAGAGGTCAACAGGGTAACGGATCCCCGCCTGGCCGCACTGGCTGATGGCAGCGCGTGATGGCTCGAGGGGTGCACGGATGCCGGGCACCCCTCGATGTGAAGGGCTTTGCAGGAGTGAGCGTCGGTTCGCGCAGATAAGTCGGCTGATAATGTGCGGTGACTCATTTCCGTTTGCCGTTTTCGGCCGGCACCTCGTATCCTTCGACGCGAGCTTCACGGCGTCCGGAGGACGCGGCGCCCCCTCCTCACTACCCCAGCTTCGCACCCTCCGCCGTATACACCACCAGACCGCTGGGTCACCACCCAGCCGCCCTGTCGACAGTCGCCTCACCGTCAGCTGTCAGCTCTCACCACCGCTCTAACCGCTGCTCTCACCGCCGCTCCCCCTCCGCTCCCACCGCTGCTCCTCACCGCGGCTCCCCACATACCGCTCCCACCTACTGCTCCCACCGCCGCTCTCACCCGCCGCTCTCACCGCCGCCCCCCCCCCCCCCCGCTGCTCTCGCCGCCGCTCCCACCGCTGCTCTCAACCCGCCGCTCCCCCCCCCTCCGCTCCCACCGCTGCTCTCACCGCCTGCTCCCACCGCCGCTCCCCCCCCCGCCCCCGCTGCTCTCGCCGCCGCTGCTCCGCCGCCGCTCCCACCAGCCGCTCCCACCGCCTGCTCCCACCGCCGCTGCCACCGCCGCTCCTCCCTCCGCTCTCACCGCCGCTCCCACCGCTGCTCTCACCGCCGCTCCCGCCGCCGCTCCCACCACCGCTCCCACCACCGCTCCCACCACCGCTCCCACCGCCGCTCCCCCTCCGCTCTCACCGCCGCTCCCCCCTCCGCTCTCACCTCCGCTCTAACCGCTGCTGACCCCACCGCGTGTCGCCAGCTGACGACGACGGCCTCGAGCGAGCGCAGCACGTACGAGGTGGCCAGCCGGCCTCGCGCCGGCGGGTGAGCGGGGCGGCGCGCTCCGACGGTAGACTGCCACGCGCTGGTGCCCGACCGGCCGGTGGCCACCTCGGCCGAACAGCTGGCCCGTCGCCAGCGCCCTCTACCCGCCCAACTTCACACAGGCGTTCGGCCAGATGTTCGCCGGCATGCTGCCCGCGCCTGGCTTCCAGCTGCCGCCGAACGGGAAAGGTCAGTGGACGAGGCTGTGCTCACGAGGTGGTGGGCTCAGCGGCGTGGGCGGTGTTGAAGTTAGCCGTTTGGACGCGCGCCGCTCCAGCCGCTGTGTGAAGCTCTCATCAGCGGAGTTTGGGGGTGGGGGGGGGGGGGGGGGTGAGTGGCATGATACTGGGAGCGTTGGACGGAGGTTCTGATGTTCCTGTCGTTGCGATCACGTGGTGCCGGCGAGATGTGCCTGTGGTGGTGGCGCCTGTATTGTTGCAAGGGATGGGTCTTGGATATAGTCCCTGTCTTTTACGTCCCCTGGCCATGATTTACAATGCAATTTACTTCACCCATGTTGCCTTTGGAACCGCCTTCTGCACCGCTCCGCGAACCATTAAACCTGGCTGCCCTGCTTTGGTGCAGTTTTCGGGTGTCCGTAATCTTCTATAAAAGCCTTCTGTTTTGACGCGCAAATTTGTTGGCCCTTTTCAGGCGCGTGACTAAGTTTGCCGGCATAACCATATCCTTATCACTGTCATATGTCACGTGATATCACGTGATAACGTGGACAGAGCTCGGGCAGGCGACCTTCAAAATGAGCCGGTAGTTTATCCTAATGAGCCGGGTGAGAGCCGCCACCCAAGTCGAAGCGCGCTTTCGTGACCCCGGCGAAGTGTCGGCACACAGGACTCGGGGGGGGGGGGGGGACGTTGATGGCAGTTCCCACATCTTGCTTGTTTGGTTGTTTGAATAAGCGCCCTTTCGACCCGAGATGACCATTTCAGGACCATGGGATGAAGGAAAATGGTTAACGGCGGGGCAGGCCCGCATGCGTCTGGGGCGTCAACCCGCGTATGTGCGCTGGACACCGGGTCGGGGCTCCCTTCCCATGAGGCTCTACCCGCTCGTGGCTGACGCACGCAGCATGCGCGGGACAAGTGGGGTGTTGAAAAGATGCAGGGTGAAGCATGATACGGGATGAGAGGGTGGGATGACACAACTTGGCCGTATTTTTTACTATTTTTGGAGGCGTTTCTGCCCGTTGGGGCCATTCCAATCCTGGAATGGATCGTTCCAAATGTGCATTATGGATCGTTCCAAATGTGCGTGATAATTATGTGCATTATATGAAAAGAGAAAAAATGACACGTTCGTGATTGACTTACATTGCGTTAAGCAGGCCGATGAGTCCGAGGAAATTGAAAAGCAAGTCAAGCAATTAAGGGTGGTCATCGCCAAGAACGGTTTAAGAAAAAGAAAATTCAACATTATGCCGACGACAATATATGCCCGGCTTGCATTGCACTCAGACGAGGCTTAGTGCAACTCACCGCGCCGTTTGATGACGCCCCGCGCGTGACCTGCCCCCCCCCCCCCTCCCCCTGGGCGGGGCCTGAAGCGCCGCCGTCGTTTCCAGTCAGTGATCTGTTCGCCAAGAAGCCGCCGCCCCGGCCGCAGCTCAGCGCGGCCGAGGTGGCCGCCGTCCGCCAGATGATCAACGGCTACCGGGAGTCGGCCAATTTCCTGCGCCGCTCGGCGGACGAGCTGGAACTGCTCATTCAGCAGTCTGGCCACTAGGCGGCGGCACGGCCGCTTTGCCTCGGGTCGACGAGCTTGAAACAATTGCGCTCAGGTCATCTCTCGCGGCTGGCGAGCAGCCGCGACAGGTGGAGGCGGCGTTCACGGCTGATCGGTCTCAACCCGACCTGGGAGACGTTCGAGGCGAGATGTGAAGCGCTTCGCAGCGCTTGGCGCGAAGCCCGCCGGTGCTCGCGGCGTGGGCAGTGTGCCCACTGCCAGCGAGATGTGTTCGTGATCTCGCCATTCAGTGTGGAGCGGGCACTGGCTGTCCGGAGAGGCGCGGCCGGTGTCTGACCAATCAGAGTGAGCCGCGGCGCCCGGGCAGCCAATCCCAAACCGTCACGATATATCATTCGGCACCGTCCCCACCTTGTCGGATCAGTGTTTGTGTTGCTTTCTAGACGTGCGCGTAGCTATAGGTGTTGGCTGGTCCGGCCAGCCGTTATTTTGAAATTGCGGGCGGTCCGCAAGTCCCGAACAGCACGGCCATTCGTCTCGACAGGTTGCAGTCTTCCCATGACAAACGCAGGTCAGTTCGGCTATATAGTCCGTGTGCTACAGTACAGCAGGCGCCTCGCCGGGGCGTGGCGGCGGCAGCGTTTCCTTGGTGTCGTGTTCTCACCGCCGCGGTACCTGGGCGCCCCGGAACGGCCGGCGCGAGGACCATGGGGGCCCGACCGCCCCTGCCTGCGCCGAGTTGGTGTGATGTACCTCCGTGCTGGGCGCACCAGCGCGCCAGCGCCGGTCTAGTCCAAGCATTGGTCGGTGTGAGTCAGTTACCTCCGTGTTATCATTTTCCTGCGGCAAAGAAATACAAGTATTTTCGTGCTGACAGGTTTATTTTATTGGCAGTGGCTTCCGCGCTGAGCCCAACTGAAACTCGTCTCTGGTATCACTCAGCGCCACGCTTCCCCAGTTACAACATATACAGTTCCATATCCATAACCATGAAGAGTTCCTCCAGTACGGTTATCACACCACCTGTTCAGTCCCAGTCCGGTCCAGCCACCCGGCATACCACGGTATATTGGGCCGATGTTGCCACAGCGATAATTGCATTGATAGATGTGCTCTAGGGCTCATTAAGACTACAACCGCCCGGCAATTGCTAAAATGGGAGCATTCAAAAACAAATGTCTCAGGATTACACAATCCCTCAGTTGACGGGATTACTGAACACATTTGAGCGCATCGCGGAGAGATGATGTACGCGCATACCATCTCGGTTACGTGCGTCGTGTCGCTCGCTCCAGCAGGGAGGCTCCGGCACGTCGCCGCAGCTCTCCGCCAGCAAATCGACTGTAAATCACACGTGCCCAGCATGCTACGGACCTGGCGGTAGGTCAGAAGCCGACCTCTCGCGGGTGCCAGGGCGACCCCCACCCCGCGTCCGGCGGACCTTCGCCCCCCCCCCGTACTGCACACCCAGCTGGACCTGACGGGCAGCGAGCACCTGCGACATCATCCACCTTCACAGCCGGTCATGCGGCAGGCAGGTGGGCGTGGCACCCGTCGCCAATCTCCAACACAGCCGAATCTGCACGGCAAGCGGATGACCGGAGGCGCCCGTGGCCGGCGCCCTGCCGGGCCCCGCCCACCGGCTCGGGGCCCCCTGGGCTGAGCGCGAACGTGGCTGCCGAACGTGCGCTGCAGCACTGGGCTGTGCTGGAAGGTGCGTGCAGAGAGGTTCCAATGTGGAGAATATGGCGACAAAACATGTTTTGGCAAACGCCTAAATGGTTGTGTGGGGAGTAATCTACATAGCCACAATCAACTCAACAACTCGGAACAATGATAATCACTTCTCATCCTGTGCAGTTCTGGATTGTAATCTGTCCAGCAACGAAATAGCTAACAGCTACAACCATGCTACTAAAATATGCCGTGATTTTCATCACATTGTCCATGGAGTCAGGCCGTATAGAACCATGGAACGATGGACGCGTTGGGCACCTTTCATCCGCCATAAACATCACTGATCAATAAACACAACTATCACTGACTGACAAACTAATGTATACTGTGTCCCTGTTATCTGATCGCCGTTTGAAAACCGCACCGACAATGTACCAGCGTGGAATGCAAAAAGCAGAATATCGGACCGTCTTCTCCAGTCACGTACCTCTACCAAAAGCAGGGCACAAAACCTCCCGGCCGATTGCTTGCCCCATCAATCACCATACCAGCCCAGGCATGCACAACCGTAGACGCGTAACGTAACGCCTGCCGGGCCCTCAGGCGACCCTCAACACCACGGCACCGCCGAGCGCGCTCACAGACCCCTGCGACGCGCGCCGCCCGCCCATGGATCGACCCGAGTGGCCACGGCGTCTGCGGTCGGAGCTGCCCGGCCAGACACCCGCACCGCTCCGGAGCCGGGCACGAGGCCCGCTCTCCACAGGGTCACAGGCGCGGCTGTGGCCCGGTCCCGACACCCGCACCGCTCCGGAGCCGGGCACGAGGCCCGATCTCCACAGGGTCACAGGCGCGACTGCGGCCCGGTCCCGACACCCGCACCGCTCCGGAGCCGGGCACGAGGCCCGCTCTCCACGGGGTCACAGGCGCGGCTGCGGCCCGGCCCGACACCCGCACCGCTCCGGAGCCGGACGCGAGGCCCGCTCTCTACGGGGCCACAGGCGCGGCTGCGGCCCGGTCCCGACACCCGCACCGCTCCGGAGCCGGGCACGAGGCCCGCTCTCCACGGGGTCACAGGCGCGGCTGCGGCCCGGCCCGACACCCGCACCGCTCGCGCGTCGGAGCCGGACGCGAGGCCCGCTCTCCACGGGGCCACAGGCACGGCTGCGGTACCCGGGGACAGAACCCCGAGCACATCAGAGGTTGGACTTGGAAAGCATCAGCTGCTGCATGGCGTTCAGGCTCGCCTCCACCCAGCCGTAGAACTTGTTGACGTCGCACTCCTGGCTGCTGACGAAGCCGGCGATGTTGATGTTGAGCCTGCCGAAGAGCGGAGCGCCACGTGAGACCATCCCGACACCAGCGCGGCCACGGAGCGCAGTAGGGGGCTGGACGGCACCGCCGCCAGCCGGGCTCCGTCGTGGCACGCCCGCTTGCGCCGATGGCTCGCCAGACCGACATCGACCCAGCTTCCAGGGCGCATCATGACGGGCGATGGGTGGGTCTGTCGCGCCCGCCTGGTGACATTTCAAGTGCTCGCGGCTGACATACGTCAGCTTTTGCCACGCGGCGATGAAGTGCTCTTTTCAAGCAAGCGTTCAAAGGGCACATCTAATTTCCCAAATTCAGCATGGCTGGAAGTAACATCACGGTGCTGGATGAGATCAGTCAGATTGGTGCCAGTCAGCTGGATAATCACGAATTTCCCCAACGCAAGTGAATGTGGGTAGAACGAGGAATTTAGCAGACGTCATGGCATACTGCCTCCGTTCACCAGGCATTCAGCAAGACTTGACAAACATAAGCCGTCAAAACGAACACTCCTCATGCGAGCCTCAACTGCGCAACGCCTGCTGAGCAAGTGCGAGCGGCTCCCCGTCGACCGCCTAGCTGTCACCCGGGTACCGCGTCGGGTACCGAGCAAGCTGCCGGGGTACCGCGCGGTGCCCCGGCAGTCGAGCACCGGCCGCCGAGGCGCAGGGTACCGGCGCGACGCCCGAGCCCTCTCCTGGCGCGCACGGCGGCGCCGATCCGACGGCGAGCACCCACCGGTCCGGCTCGATCGAGTAGAAGCAGCCGTAGCCGTCGCGCACCATGGCCGCCGTCACGCCGAAGCAGGGCGTGTAGCCGGTGGTGCTGGTGGACAGCACGAAGTTGCCGCTGCCGCCGCTGAAGGGCGGCCGGCACCGGTGAGGGCCGGGACCGGCGCCCCAGGGACCGAGAAGGACAGCGATCTGACCCGTGTCGGCCCTCCCACACGTTAACATGCACACCTTTACACACAACCGGATGGCGGATATCCTCGATACGTACCGATACTTTTCAGGTTATTTGGTTTCGCCTTTTTCCAAGAACTATTTTGCAGTGAAGACTCCCGTGTTCATGGACATCAAGAAACAGTGCGTACATTGTTAATAAACTTAGCGCTCGTATTGTATGTCGACTCCCATGTAGCCACCACACAGCGCAATGATCATAAGATCAACAGCCCCACCCCTCCCACCGAGCACACTCCACCTCGTCCGTCGCCGCCTGACGGCTCGTCGCGCTCCCAGACTCGCCGGGGGAGCCCACCTGCGCTTCCACATGGGGTCGGTGAAGATCTCCGGTGTGGGCAGACCGGCCTCAGCCGCCTGGATCTGCAGGCCCAGCAGGTGACGGTCGCAGCCGTGACCTTCGGCCGCCTGGCGCGCCAGGTCCGCGTGACGGTCCACCGCCGCCCGCAGCAGCCGGCGACGGTCGTCCGCCTGAGGGGAGAGGTCAGTAGTCAGAGACAGGTCCACCGCCACCCGCAGCAGCCGGCGACGGTCGTCCGCCTGAGGGGAGAGGTCAGTAGTCAGAGACAGGTCCACCGCCACCCGCAGCAGCCGGCGACGGTCGTCCGCCTGAGGGGAGAGGTCAGTAGTCAGAGACAGGTCCACCGCCACCCGCAGCAGCCGGCGACGGTCGTCCGCCTGAGGGGAGAGGTCAGTAGTCAGAGACAGGTCCACCGCCGCCCGCAGCAGCCGGCGACGGTCGTCCGCCTGAGGGGAGAGGTCAGTAGTCAGAGACAGGTCCACCGCCGCCCGCAGCAGCCGGCGACGGTCGTCCGCCTGAGGGGAGAGGTCAGTAGTCAGAGACAGGTCCACCGCCACCCGCAGCAGCCGGCGACGGTCGTCCGCCTGAGGGGAGAGGTCAGTAGTCAGAGACAGGTCCACCGCCACCCGCAGCAGCCGGCGACGGTCGTCCGCCTGAGGGGAGAGGTCAGTAGTCAGAGACAGGTCCACCGCCGCCCGCAGCAGCCGGCGACGGGTTCGTCCGCCTGAGGGGAGAGGGTCAAGTAGTCAGAGACAGGTCCACCGCCGCCCGCAGCAGCCGGCGACGGTCGTCCGCCTGAGGGGGAGAGGTCAGTAGTCAGAGACAGGTCCACCGCCGCCCGCAGCAGCCGGCGACGGTCGTCCGCCTGAGGGGAGAGGTCAGTAGTCAGAGACAGGTCCACCGCCACCCGCAGCAGCCGGCGACGGTCGTCCGCCTGAGGGGAGAGGTCAGTAGTCAGAGACAGGTCCACCGCCGCCCGCAGCAGCCGGCGACGGTTCGTCCGCCTGAGGGGAGAGGTCAGTAGTCAGAGACAGGTCCACCGCCGCCCGCAGCAGCCGGCGACGGTCGTTCCGCCTGAGGGGAGAGGTCAGAGTAGTCAGAGACAGGTCCACCGCCACCCGCAGCAGCCGGCGACGGTCGTCCGCCTGAGGGGAGAGGTCAGTAGTCAGAGACAGGTCCACCGCCGCCCGCAGCAGCCGGCGACGGTCGTCCGCCTGAGGGGAGAGGTCAGTAGTCAGAGACAGGTCCACCGCCACCCGCAGCAGCCGGCGACGGTCGTCCGCCTGGGGAGAGGTCAGTAGTCAGAGACAGGTCCACCGCCACCCGCAGCAGCCGGCGACGGTCGTCCGCCTGAGGGGAGAGGTCAGTAGTCAGAGACAGGTCCACCGCCACCCGCAGCAGCCGGCGACGGTCGTCCGCCTGAGGGGAGAGGTCAGTAGTCAGAGACAGGTCCACCGCCACCCGCAGCAGCCGGCGACGGTCGTCCGCCTGAGGGGAGAGGTCAGTAGTCAGAGACAGGTCCACCGCCACCCGCAGCAGCCGGCGACGGTCGTCCGCCTGAGGAGGAGTCAGAGGGGTCAGGGAGTCCAGAAGGGTCAGAGGCCGCCTGCGGGAGCCGCCGGCCGCCGACCATCGCCAAAGAGAACGGTTGGATGGCTGGAGTGCTACCCAATGCTGGAAGGCGGTAGTCAAAGGGCAGTGGTGGTTACAGTTCGCAGCAGAATACAACTAGAAATGGGTCCACGTGCAACATCCAGGGAACCTTAAAACCGAGGCCTGATGAGCGTGCAACTCATGATCCTGATATACTCAACATCAACAGAGTAAACGCTTCTAATGGGCCGCAAAACTCCACTCAAAGACATAAAACGCACACGGATGGCTGAAAGCAGTACGGGAAGGCGATCGAGATACTATGCCTCTGCAATCTCCCGCTCTGCGCACGGCCCAGGCGGGCGGGGTGCCACCCAACCATGTCTCACCAGGGCCGAGTCGGAGGTCATGGCCTGGCACCAGGCCAGCGCCTGGGGCGTGCACGAGCGCACCGTCTCCGTGCGCGCCTTGTAGAAGCGGCGCGTGGTGGCCGTCTCGTACGTGGGCGCCGCCCTGGTGGAGGGAGTGAGCCGTTGCAAGCGCTCGGGACGCCGAGCTGGTGAGTGGCACCCCGGTGGGAGACGTCAAGCGGAGAGGCACAACGGAACGTCACAAAGGAGGAGAGGAGAGAGGACACTGCGAGGAACAGACCAACAAACCGAGGCGATGGACCTGGTCCTGCCGCTCCTCTGACCACCGGTGATAACCTCCCTCCAAATTCCTCGGAGCTCGCCGTTACCTCCTCCAACCTGTTCCGAAATGAAGTGATTTTCGGATGAGGTTGGAGGCTGTGGTGGACTTGAGCGGCGCAGATCGTTCAGGTGCCTTTTTGCTCCCATTTTTATCACGCGACAGAAACAAGGAACTGGCGTGTTGGTTAGCTGGAATAGGTTATATTCTAAGTACCTCTTATAGCTTCATATTAATATTCACAGTTGCACATATTCAAGACTTTGCAGTGTAACTTGTTTTCAGTTACCCTTCCCTTTCCATTTGTTTGCCGTCTTCTGTGCAAAGTGACGCCCCATAAAACAGCCCGGCCAGCTCGCAGCCATCCCTTGACCCCACGGCGACCCCGGCCTGCCACCGACCGTCCGTGGCGCTGGTAGTAGGCCAGCTCGCAGTCATCCCTTGACCCCACCGTGACCCGCGCCTGCTACCGACCGTCCGTGGTGCTGGTAGTAGGCCAGCTGGAGCGCCATCTGCACGAAGGCGTCCGGGTGGAAGCCCTGCGACTGGATCCACAGCTTGCCGTAACAGGCGTAGCGCCGGCTGATGATGGTTACGTCACGCAGCTGCCGGTGGGGGCCAGGTCAGGTTCGGTCAGGTCAGGTCAGTTCACATGGGGAGGAGACACGACTGGATCCACAGCTTGCCGTAACAGGCGTAGCGCCAGCTGATGGTGGCAACGTCACGCAGCTGCCGGCAGAGGCCAGCCAGGCCAGGCCAGGCCAGGCCAGGCCGGGTCAGGTCAGGTCAGGTCAGGTCAGGTCAGGTCCGGCCCGGCCAGTTCACATGGGGAGGAGACACGGATCAGGTGTGGCGGGGACCGATGATGACGTCATGCAACTGCCGGCTGGACAGAGGTCAGGTCAGGTCACACGGGCAAGATACACGAGACAGGTGCAGCGGCCACTGATGATCGTGACATTATGCAGCTACTAGTAGGGCAGAGGTCGGGCGCGGTCAGGTCAGATGGGAGGAGACACGGAGCAGGGTCCAGCGGTGACTGATGATCGTGACATTATGCAGCTACTGGCAGGGCGGAGGCCGGGCCAGGTCAGGCCAGATGGGAGGAGACACGGAGCAGGTGCAGCGGTGACTGATGATGAAGTCGCGCAGCTAGCGGTGGGGCGAACATCGACTCAGTCCCAAAGGCACATGAACTCAGGAGGGCGAAGGGCAAGTACGTGACGGGGCGATGGGACATCGGGTTGGGGATATGGGGACATGGGATATAACATAGGGAGGGGTGGCATTCCGCCCCGCACTCACCAAATGCACAGGGAAGAGTTCATCGACCAGATGAGTGGGCAGTTAGCGACCATGAATGACACCAGACGATAAAGCAAAGGGCGCAGCACTGCTGGCCGAGAGACGCAAGCGAACTCAAGCGGATGACGGATGGCAAACGGTTGTCAGTATTTCAACGGGAGAAATCGCGGGCTGGGAACCAGGTCAAAAAGTGGGGAGCCAGAGAGAAAAACTGATCGACAAGAGGTGAGCGTCACCTGCCATGGGAAGACACTAATACAACATATACCAGATAGCCATGGATTCAGCTCGAGGACCTTTTCAACTAATAAACCACGCAAAAAAACCAACAACAAAGTCCGGCAGAGCACCCGCATGGAGGAGCTGTCAGTGCTGGACAAGCCGGCATGGTCCGAATGCATTTTGTCATACACCGCCTTTCTTCTCTCATCATTCTACCCTATGCCACAAACTAAGCTCAACGTATGAAACACACACAACGCCGCCCGAGAGTGCTCCCCCAACACAGCTGTACCCCGCACGTACCAGCGGCAGGGTGACCTCGCGGGCCGCCTGCAACGTCGCGGCGCACGCGCTCGTCCACGGTGAAGACGAGCTCGCGCGGTCGGCAGAGGTAATCGCGCGGCGGGCCGCACCAGCCGACCGTGTCGGTTGAAATCCAGCTCCTGCAGGTGGCTGAACCAGCCCTGCGTCACCAGCGTCATGGCGTCCATGGGCGAGTGCTGCCGGCAGGGGTGGGCCCGTGATGGCGCGAGGACGGTCGGGGTCGTCAGAGGGGCGTGTGCCGCACCAGCTGGAGCGGCCGGCGCTGTCAGGAGGGCGCGTGCCGCACCGGCTGGAGCAGCCGGCGGCTGTCAGGAGGGCGTGTGCCGCACCGGCTGGAGCAGCCGGAGGCTGTCAGGAGGGCGTGTGCCGCACCGGCTGGAGCAGCCGGCGGCTGTCAGGAGGGCGTGAGTCACACCGGCTGGAGCGGCCGGCGGCTGTCAGGCCTGGTGAGCGATTCCAGCGGCAGCGGAGAACGGAGGCAAGGTCAGACATCGGAAACGCCAGGCACTAAGTACTTAGGCACGAGTCTCCCTAGCCAAACACACCAATCAGTTAATAGTGCCAGTATTTCATCCTCGAACGCCGCAAGCGTCGGCGATACAGATGCTGTTATCCGCAAGCTGCTCTATGAAGGCTGTTATCTGTTATCTAGCGCAGGAAACTGGTGGTAAGTGAGCCCTTGACTTGCATATGGTTTGCAGCTGGGACGAGCCGCAGCAGACCGGCCTCACTTCGCGGCTCAACCATCCTACATTGGACGCACAAAAAGCTACTGCATGCCACCAGCCGCCGCTACCGCCGCCGCCAGCCTGCCAGCATTCGCGCCGCGCCAGCGCCCCACTCACGTCGCAGTAGTTACCGCCGTAGCCGTCCGTGTAGGCCACAGCCGTCATGCTCTTGTCGGCCCAGCGGCTGGCGCCCGTCGCCGCACAGGTTGAGACGCAGGCAGTTGTCGCGGTCGACGCCTGGCTGCGTCTCGAGCACGGCGTGGCAGACGGCCGACTCGACCACCTCCAGCGCGGCCGCGTTCGTTGCGCTCAGCTCGCGCAGGTACGTCCGGTTCTGGAGAGGCGGCGGCGCGTCGGGACCTTGTGCGGTGCAGCTTTGCGTCGCGCCGAGCAATAACGTGCCGATCTGCCTCCCTCTGGTACGCGCCAAGCCGGCAGGGCCCGCCTACCCACCCGCCCATCCCGGTGTATCCACCCTGGCTCACCGTCAGCCAGCGTGACAGCAGACCAGGCGAGGTATGATGATGATTTTGGGCTTTGGGGCGCACCGACAACAATGGTCACATGGCACTCATCAGGCGAGGTACGCGCATCATCGAACACTGTCACACCATATCACCGGTGCTACCTTGTCCGCGGACCTTTCCTGCCCGACCGACCCAACACCCAGCCCCCGGTCCTTTTCTCTCAGCCAGACCGAGTGACACCGGCCCCACTCAGAGCCGGACACAGCGCCCCCCCCCCCCCCCCTTCCTCACTGGCCCACCGCCGCCTCCGGCCGACCCACCTCTGCCCAGCGCGGCCGCTCATCTGCGGTGAGCGACGCCAGGCCGGGCCCGGCGACGTGCCTGCACCGCTCCCACACCCGCTCCAGCACCAGCTGGTACTCCTCGATCGTCAGCGGCTGCTCCGTATCCGGCTCCAGCAGCGCGCTCGAGTACAGATGGCCGTTGCACAGGATCACGAAGTGGGTGGGCGTGCAGCCCTCCGACTCTGCGGCGAGAGGCGGGACTGTCGCGGACTGAACGCTCGAGCTCGCGGGCGCCGGGCGGCACGCGAGAACCGCTGTGGACTGCACCACTTCGTCGGCGAAGATGGGATCAGCCCGGCAGTGGCCTTCATGACTGATACTTTACGGAGTTGATTTAGAGGAAACGAAGCTTCACACAGCATCGGCTGGGTGGACATGCAACACCCCTTGCCTTCCACGTGCCATACAGTGCAGGTCTGGTGACCGCCAAAGTACAGCTGGTGTCGTATCACGAGCGGAACCGCATGCCACATCCGGCTAAGCCGTCCTCCATCTCCACAAGCGTCACATGATCCACAACTGTCGGCGTGTGTTCACTTGGGCAGGGAGACCCCCGTCGCACGCCGCCCCTTCCACCCCGACCGCTCAGCGTCCCACGACGCGGCTGTCAGACCGCCGGCAGCCAGGTCAGCCGGGCCCGGGCGCGCTGCCCACACTCATCGGCCTGGCGGTCCTGCCCGCGGCTGTGGCCCAGCCCCTGACCCGCCGCCGCCGCCGCCGCCGCCGCCGCTGACCGGTCTGGAACATGGCGCGCACGGTGTCCTTGTGCCGGCCGGGCAGTCGGGTGGTGCTCAGCAGGCGGCGCCACTGGTGCATGCTCAGCGGCACGCCGTCGCGCGTCCGCTGCGGCACCAGGCGCTCCCGGCGCAGCAGACACCAGAACGACGCCACACCGTACAGGTAGTGGGCCAGGTACTGCGCGCAGGAGGTGCCGGTCGTCAGTCACGGCGGCGGTGCGGCCATCCGGTGAAGGGGAGCCGACACTGGACGAAGCAAAGGAATGGACGACAAGTGGCAAATCGGAAGGCGATGACTAGGGGAAGATTGGAAACGTTTCATGTGCAATGGAAAGCGAACAACGACGCCATCCGACAATGTATCAGTACGGCAAGTACTATGATGCTATTAGTAAAGAACATAAAACACCTTGCACTTACCATTCACACCCTCACCAAATGCTCGCCTCCCGTGCCATCGTCAGCCCATAACGAGCAGCCTCACGCCCAAATTCACCACTCCCCCATAGAGGCATTCGCTCCGGCTGCACCACTCCCCCGACGTGTCGGCCGGGCGTACCTTGCACTGTGTGCCGGGCCCAGGCGGCCACAGGCTGTCGGTCAGCGTGAACGGACCAGCGAACGCCAGCGACGGCGTGATGGGCTCGCGTTGGTACAGGTACGCATAGTCGTTCCACCAGTGGAGCATCTGTGGCCGCGCACGAGCGGGTAGGTCACCAGCTGCGCCCAGCACTGTACCCCAACGGGCCACGTCGACTGGGATACGAGAGGCGCAAGCTCGTCACAAACTACAGCCGGTGCGCGCAGTGGCCTGGTTACCGCCCCTACCCAACCCATTGTACGTACGGGTCTGGGAAAACTCGAGTGTACGAGTGGCGCGCCGACCGTACTCAAATGAACAAACTGTCAATCCCTGACACATTACTAAAATGTTACACAGTAGCCAAACCCAATTGTCAGGTACGTTTCAGTCCACAGAAGGCACAGCGTCACTTGCTCCTCACCTCGTGAACCTTATTGCACACCGATGCACGCGCTTGCTAGTAGAGCATGGCACAGCCTCCCAGCGAAGACAAGGCCACAGGGTCAGTGCACAACCAACGCACCGACGGATGCCTGACGCGCCGCACCCACCCAGTTGCGCGTGTGTTTGTTCCTCTCCAGCAGGCCATCGTGGAGCCGGCGGCCGACGCCGCGCTCGAACTCCTCCACGATGCGCCGCGTGTTCTCATACTCGCGGCTGCTGGCCACCGGGTACACCGACTCCAGGTACCTGGCAGCACGCGGCTCGAGGTCCGCTCGTGGCACACGCAGACAGCGACAGTGAACGGTGACAACAGAGACGTCGTGCATGAGACGGCATGCGTACTCTGCGTGTGAAGATTGGGGCTTGAGAAACGTAGCTGGTTTCGTCGTCCGACTCGGGACCCACGGTGCATGGAACTCAACCGAGCCTTTTGCATCGACTGAACAGTCCAGGATGGCTGCATTTATCCACCGCTGGCTGGGCCATAGGGCGAACGAGCTTTGTTGGCCCAAGGTTGTTACCCACAGAAACATTGTTAGAAACAACAACCGGGTCACTGCAAGGGGATCGCAAGGGCGTAGCTCTCGACAAGCCACTAACGTGGAAGTAGGAACATGATCAATGCAGTGCTTGGAGCCCTCTTTTAGGGGGCACAGCATATGCCACCAAACCCGCAACTGACAGCCACATTACCATATTGATTCTTACATCCACACCACTAGCACCAGACGCATCGCAGGGAACAGATGTGGAGGGTACCAGAGGTAAAGGGCAACGCTTGCCACCAGCGCCGACGCGGGACCGCGCACCGCCCACTCACTTTTGCAGCGTCTGCTTTTAGCGGCGGGATCGGCAGGCTGGGGTAGCTGGTCATCGTACTGGAACGTGCGCTCGTTCTCCGCGACGTACGTTTTCTCAGCGAGCCGCGGAGGCGACTTCATCTGGGTGCCGGAGCCGCCGTACCAGGTCTGTGGGCAGGCCATCGCTGTAACGGGAGCTGATCTGACCTCAGGTCACGGGTCATCGGCCATCGAGGAGCCGTGCCAGGTCTGCGGGCGGGCCGCCGCTGTCATGGGAGCCACCCTCTGACCACAGATCAGAAGTCAATGGCCACCGAGGAACCACACCAGGTCTGCGGGCGGGCGGCCGCCGTGGCGAGAGCTGATCTCTGACCTCAGGTCACGGATCAGCCTGGTCCGCGGGCGGACCGCCGCCGTCGCGGGAGCTGACCTCTGACCTCAAATCATGGGTCAGCGGCCACCAAGGGACCGCACCAGTCGGGGAGCGCGACAGCCTCCGCCAGGTGATGACGAGGGGCGTGCGCCTATGCGAGCCCACGAACAGCGACGGAGACTTGGGTATGTGAACACGAGACTGGCCAGAGGGCGGAGTCACGCGTTCAGCCAGAACTCCAGGGTCGCAGCCAGGGCGCACCGAGCAAGCTGCCAGCCGTGAAGCCTGAAGAACCACAAAACTCGGGGAATGTAAGGATTGGTGGACAACGGGGGAGAGGTCTAAACTCAGTAAGGGCAAGTTGATGAGTTTACTGAGTGACGTCATGCACTCTGACGTCACTAAAGGAAAACAAAAGGCCTATGGATCGAGCGTTTGACGAAGCCCGCTCCCATTTACACAACACCGCTAACGTCGACTCATAGACCTTTGGCAGGCTACACCGTACCGGGTTCCCACACCGGTCCAGCCGACAACACCGCGTCCAGCAGGCACCGAGCCAGAAGCCCACCGGCTGAAGCACAGCCCCGGACGCCGCGCCATGCGTCCATGCCAACGGGCGGCAAACGGCCCCAGTCAACACCCAAGCCAAGAAGGGACGCAGCAGTCACGCACCCCACCAGAGTACCGTACCATGTCAGCTGTGGCGGACGGTGCAATCGGAGCAGAACCCCAGTCAGGTCACACTCAGGCCTACCGGGCGGCCACTTGACGGTACCAGCGATTCAGCATGACCCATCCCCGACCTGACCTGACCATGGCACGGGGGTCACCGCAACCGCTCCCGCGAGGGCCGTCGCTCGAGTGGACCGCCGACGAGCCCTGATCTATCTGAGCTATCGCGCGGGCGCGGCGAGCGGCTGTCACTGACGTCCGATACCGGAGATTGGTCAGCGGAGGCGGCGTCCTCTCAACGGTCCGCTGATGAGGCAGGTCAGTGCTCGCTGTCACCCGCGGCCTGCTGCCGAGGCGTCACCAAGCGCTGTCACCAGCGGCCTGCTCCCGAGGCGTCACCAATCGCTGTCGCCAGCGGCCAACTCCCGAGGCGTCATCAATCGCTGTCACCCGCGGCCTGCTCCCGAGGTGCCATCATTCGCTTGTCACCCGCGGCCTGCTCCCGAGGCGTCACCAATCGCTGTCGCCAGCGGCCAACTCCCGAGGCGTCACCAATCGCTGTCACCCGCGGCCTGCTCCCGAGGCGTCACCAATCGCTGTCAACCGCGGCCTGCTCCCGAGGCGTCACAAATCGCTGTCGCCAGCGGCCAACTCCCGAGGCGTCACCAATCGACCGAACACCAGCCGATCTCACCCGGCCCGCGGCCATCGGCTCCAGTGGCGGTGTTCGGGACCGGGGTCGATGCGGGCATCGACAGGCAATACGACGAAATGACTGCACAAATAGTCGAACCTGGCGGTCGTGCCGCGAAGGCAAGTCGGCAGATTTGCCCCTCAGCTACCTTTCCCATCTGCGCTTGGGTGTCGTCAACGGGAGCTGGGTTATCGTATCACAAATCCAGTCGATCATTGGTGTCAACGTCTTTCAAGCAAGACCAAGTTCGCTAAATGTTCAGATTTTCTCGAGGCAAGCGTCCCGTGCCTCTCATCAGAACGCTCACTGAAGTCGGGCAGCGTGGCTTTGACCGTCGGCGTTAAGTTGCTTATTTTTTACATCGGCATATTCAAAGATTGGGCTGGAATGAACGAGGACAGGTACTTTACGACTTAGGCGAAAGTGCACAAATAATCGCCCATCACATGGCACACCAGCTACCTGGTTACGCAACCATAATTTTTCTCAAAAAGCCAAATGTTGCGTTGCGTTCAAACTCTTGCCAAGTTGGACAGTGTCTACGAAACTACTCAGTATGTATGCCTCTTGACTCAGGGGTACGGGGATGATTCCCTTATCCCATCCTCCTCGCTACGTCCCTAATATAAAGCAACGAGCCGTAATTTCCGACACCTGATAAAAACCATCAGCAGCGCAATTAGCACCTCTGGCTGGACCCGGCGGTTCCAATATGGGGCGTTATCTGTTTGATAAGGATCCACAAAAAATAACGAGATAGCTACGATTGATTTTAGATTTGCGCACGGTGGGTAACATGCCATACAAACCCACAACCAAGTGGCATGGTGTTCACCTAGTACATTAATTACACCTGATAGGATGGTTTTGATGCGTAGTTAGTAATTAGTGCCGCCCGCTACCCTACGCGTCACCACGGCTACACAGAATACTACCACAAATATCCGCAACTACCCCACGGCACATCGCCTTCTAATGAAGGGCATCCAGCAAGCAAAAGTTTCACATCACGTGTTTCCACCAGCCGCCGTTCACAAACGGCGGCCCCGGGCAGAGCCCCCCAAAACCGGCCGCTATTACCCCGGCGGCCAGTTTTCGGGGGCACCCGACAGCAAGAGTTACACCACTCACGGCTCAAGGCGGGTCACCTACCCACTATATCGTGACCCGCAGCATGCTGCCATCCCGCTGACCGCGCGGAAGTCCCCGCATTTGGAAGCGCGGTGCAGCTCGCAAGCGCCGAGCGGCTCATAACGACCAAGGTGGCATCGAGCAACTGTATGACCCCAGCCATCTGCGCGAGCTGCCCGACACGGCGGAAAGCGGCCGCCTCACGTCAGCCAGCCGCCGGAGAGGCGCGCCCCACTACACATGCAGCGCGGCACCCCTGCGCCCCTTACGCCAGAAGCCGGCCGGACGGCTGACCGGGGACGAGCGGGTCAGGAGGGCGCGCCGCTGCACCGACGGACGCGGGGTCATGCGGGCCCGGCGATCCCCCCACAGCGAAGCAACCAACGTGAGGTATTTTGAAGCGTTCGGCACCAAATCGCGGTTTATCTTGCACGGTGGCGTGACCCCACAAGCAGGTTAGTACGCGTCCAGGTGGCGCCAGGCGACGGCAGCTGGCTGGTCTTTTACCGAGGAAAACGTGACGTCATTAAATCCAGAGGCGTGACGCCTGAGCACCAGTCTATGATGGCACGGCGGAAGCCAAGCGCGAGTTAATATACGCTCAGACCCGCGTGTGACATGGCCTGCAATCGGGGATCGGGTAATCACTGAGGGCAATCAAATAGGGGGCTAGAACATCTGCAAGCCTCAGAAGACGGTTCTATGGTAATGCAACAGGGATCCTGCAATTAAGACCATGACATACCTGCAACACACATATTCGTGATTGTCACAGGCTAACTTACACACATAATGACCGATGTAACACACTCATATCCTTGCTTAAAGGGAATGTTTCACATTTGGAGATACTGAAATAAGCACCAGATATGATGAAACAAGTTCACATATAACTATTTGTAAACTTAGTAGAAAATACTGCTCTAGATGATGCAATATCTATGTTGAGCAAATATGCTGCCTGATATGTCATTACTCGAGTATGTCATCGTACCTTGCACAACATCAGCTTATTGATAGCCATTATGCCAGGAAACTGTGCTCATGAATGCCACATGTTCATGACCCAAACATAATATTTTTCTTGGCCTTAATTGTTGCATGGTTTATGGAATGACAGGATATAAATAGTATTACGATGTCATGAATGCCAAGGTGACCTTGAAGTACTCAACCCAAAAATGTCTCCCCATCTTCGCATGTGTATGACTAAAAAACTAGAGGGGTTTAGGTCTCAAGAAGGGGTGGGCTATGAGCTCCACCCAATGACCTTCAGAATGGATTGTTTGGTTCAAAACCCCATAGAACTGGGGAAACACTCCCTTGAACAAATACACACATGTAACAACTTAACAAGCCAAAATGAGCTGGCTTTACAGGTCATGCTTCCCACTTGTATGGGTTTTGAAATAAACTGGTCATTTTGATGGTCATTTGGTGAGTTCACAACCCTGCCCTCCTTCACAGGTAAAAACCCTTTAACTTCTGGGCTGCACATCCTGAAGATGTGCATGCTATTCATAAAACTATTTCAAGGACATTCAGGAATACATGATGTCATAGCATTACCATTAACATCCTGTCACCCCAAAGACCACACAGTATTCAAAGTGAGGAAGAATATTATCTATGCTCAGATCTGGTTACATAAGCACAACTTCAAACTTACTGGACATCACTCGGCCCTTAAACAATGTTGAGCAGGCTGGGCCAGCTTCAACCACAAAGCAGTTTTGTGCTACATAATGTAAGAAGTTGGACATGTTTTCTTCACCTGCTAGTTATTACAGAAGAGTAAGACTTGTAATAGAGCAATGTAAGAATAATGTGATGAAATAAATAAATAATCAAGACTTGTGATGGAATAACCCTATAACTGATCATGTGAATACATCTTATGCTTCTTACTCATTGATAAATATGTGAGAACACAACAAGAAAGTGCTAAAACACAAGCACATGAGATCTGGGTCACCAACCACTTCCAGCAATGCATGCCATCCCTTGACCAGTTCAAAGTAATACCAGAGAGAATTTTGCATGACTAGTAGTTGGCAGCAC